ATGAACTATGGCTTCGCTAGCGGTAATGACCCTAGCTCTGACCACAGAAACAACACTGAACTAAAAACAAAAGGCAAAATGCTGTGGGACAAAAGACACTCAGCAAACGACAGGGACAGACCGACGGAGTGTAGCGAGCAAGCTCAGCTACCTCGGCGTTTCGGATGCACCTACCGGATGTTGTAGAACCGCTGGACTTGTGCCAGGGTCTACCAAAGTGTTCGATCGTCCTGGCCCCCGAAATTCGGGTAAAATTGATTGGCCCTAAGCGGCACTGGACGGCGGGCGTGCAGGATGTAACTGATGCCCTCGTGCCGGAGCCAGTCCTCTATTTCTGCGACCCAGCAGAGCTCCTTATCAGCACGCCCTTCTGATCGGATGGTTTTAATGCCAAGTTGCTTGCACTCGTTTATAATGTCGGACCGGTCGTCCACGAGACAGTGTGCTTGGAGTGCAGAGATGATAGATGATTTGCCCTGCCTGCCGCAAGGATAGCGGGCAAGGTGCAACTCTCTAAATGGCAAACCTTCTGCGACCAATTGGCCAATCACGTGATCAGCACCAGCTTTAGTGCTTTCTATCTTAGATTGGCCGGCGTATGAAACGATATGGAACTCAATTTGATTACCAGCAACCCTAGTCAATGCACGAAGCTTTTCAACTAGATGGGAAGACAATTCACCAATGGGGTTGAGAGCTTGGTCAATGGTATCGTGCCAGTCAATGCAAACAACTACGTTGGATGAACTAACGTGGACTACCTTAGAGACTAAATTGGGTTGTTGTTGGTAATGTCGCGGTACAGTACCAGCGACCCCCTCTGGCCGATCTGGGTTTGGTTCAGGCAAAGGCCGCCCACGGACGTGGGGTGCAAGGCCAGAGCCTGAGCTTTGTTCTTCTTGCTGTTGCTGCTGTCCTTCGGGATCAAGCGGAGGCAGATCTCGGGACGATTGGTCAGCAGGTCTTGCCCTCTCGATTCCTGGCGGAGGAGGTTTTACGGGCTTGAGATTAGCTGGATTAGGGGGAACTGGCCTATTAGGTCTTGGGGGAATTACCACGGGTGCGGCAGGTGCCACAGGTGCGGCAAGTGTCACAGGTGGATGTTTCCACGGCAGATTCTTCTTAGGCTCTGGAGCTGGCGGTAGAGGTTCTGGCCTTTGAGGCGTGTCGGGGACAGCAGCCCCCTTTGCACGTCTTGGCACTGGAACGGAACTAGCTCTTTTGCGAGACTTAGATGAAATCTTATTTGAAATTGGTACTTCCCTTCCCCTATTGGTTTTGGCAGCAACTGCAGGCGCAGTCTCGGCTGAGGGTGCTCTTGATCTGGATCGTGCAACGGGAGAGCCGGCTGGCTCTGATACAGTCTCTGTCGCGACACGGGCTGTGTCAGCGACCCCACTTCCAGCACTTTGCAAGGACTGCCTCCAGGGAGGATAAGCTGAACTACTAGAACTGCTTAATGGGGGAACAGTCAAAGATGGTACTGTAGGGGCTGCAGGTGGTGTTGGTGCAGCAGAAACTGGATCTTTTCGGGGCTGTGCCGGCTTATCACGTTGGATTTGAGAGGTTCTTATGTTAGGGCGTTGTCTCTTTGGTGGAGACTCAATTGGACGGGCAGGGGTGCGCTCAACGAAGCCAGCGTCAAACGGTTCTTGCTGGCCGACAAATGCCTGGGCTGATGATACAAACCTGGCAGTTCGAGTCTCAGCAGTTTTAGAGCCCTCAGATTCGGTCTCGGGGTTATTGGTGGCAATGTTATAGACACTATTGGGGTCTAAATTACTTGAACCAAGAACTGTCCGATGGGATCTAAGTGTAGGATCTCGCCACAACGAGTCGGGAAGCTCGTGTGGGTTGACCCCAAGCTCTGGAGCCTCGGCGTGAGGGATGATAAAAGGCAAAGTCTATGGCGCGTACGCGATCGGAGGATCAGCGACCCTAGCCCAGGTGCCAGCGGAGTCAATTCTAATTTCGGGGTAACCGTACACTTGGGGTCTTAAAGCAAGAGGTCTTCTAGAAACACCGGTTATGGCTCGGGCTCTATAAAGTTCTTGATTAAGTTCAATTCGTTCACGGGTTTCCCTTGGGACTAGATTGACAGGCAATGGCGGATTGGACCTAGTTCTTTTAGGCCTACGACGGCGCGTGGAAACCTCACGGCCGTGTTCTGTTGTTGTGAAGTCAGGGAATTTGGGTTCAGCTTCGGCCTCAACCTCAACCTCAACTACTTCGTCCTCCTCTAAACTTCCTCTTCCTCCGCCTCTTCCGCAACCCACTCCTGCTCCTCTTGCGGTGGATCGTTGGGATCCGCTGGAGCAACCTCTTCTCGCGCCTCTGCACGTTGGGAACTGCGGGCAGCGAGCTCCTGTGCAGTTGGCGGTGGATGAGATGGTGGGGGTGGAAAATTATCACCAGGTGGTGGTGTATTAGGAGGCGGTAATGGTGGTAAAGGTGGTTGTTTATGAGAAGGCGGTCTAGGGGCAATGGTATTAGGTGGAGGTGGTAAACCACGAACTCTATCTGCAAGGGTGGTGGCACTAGAATCAGGAGCTTTGGGCCTAGCTTTGGGTGGTGGCCTAGCAGGGCTAGCTACTGGGACTGGTGCTACGTCGCGCCCAGAGGCAGCGACCCCTTGAGAATCTGACTTTGGGGCTTGTGGGACTGGATGGACAGAGACAGTAACCCTCGGATGCGGCGGTTGGACCGGATGGTTTGGTGCCCTCAATGAGGGTTGCCAGTTGGGCGGTGGGTGCCCAGGCTCCTTGGGTTGCTTGGCAACCGGAGTTGTGTCTGCGCTACCACTTGCCGCGCCAGCAACGGGTGTTGCGGCAGCTGGCCTAACCCCCTTTGGCCGGGGCTGCTGCTGTGGACCTATATATCTATAATATATATCCCACTCTTCTGCGCGTGGGTGCTCTGCCCCTAAGATTCGTTGGTTAATGACCCTTTTTGGAGGTAATTCACCGGAATCAATCACTTGCTGTGCGTGGGCAGTACCTCTACGCCTGTCCAACCCATGGATGTGAGCCCACTCTTTGTAGGGGATAAGGATATTGTAGGCTAAAGCTAAACACTGTGATGTTGGGAACTCCCCAATAAGTCTTGAATGAAGAGCTATCAACCAGCGAAGACTTTCGTCGGCGTGTTCGTAAGATATTTTTCTTAACCAGAAGCCACCTGCAATATCACCTCCCGAATTCCAATAAAGCCAATTTTGGTATGCCTCGAAGTCGTTCCACCAAGCTCGCTTTGCTTCTTGCCACCTGGTTGTGGCACCACCCCTACTTGACCTAACCCTTTGTCTTGGGGGATTAGATGAAGTTGCGGGGGAATGGCCTACCTGGATAGGATCGGTGCCGGGTTCAACAAGATTAGGGCTAGTTGGTGGAGGGACTATGTCACCGGGGCAATTAGTGTTGGCTTCAGTCGCGACACCGGATGTGTCAGCGACCACAGGCTCAGGCACGGATGCAGATGGTTCGGATGCAACGGATGCTTCTCCTACTGGACCCGCCTCGTCACCTAAACCTAAAAGATCAGCTGTCTCAACTTCTGGATCGGCTTGCTCAGCAAGAGGCAACGGCTCACCTGCAGGACGGTCTTGACCTTCTTCCTTCACACGATCTAAGTCAGCAAAGGCGGTTTCAGCTGGAACTTCGTTGGGGTCAGCCTCAACCTGATCAAAAGCTTGGTCTGCAGTGTCCGTCGCGACTTCGTCAGCGACCTCTTCTGGCACTCCAATCACAGAAAGAACGGCACCCAATGCTGTGGCCTCTTGGAACTCCTCCTGCTTCACCTCCAACAGATGTCCTTCGGCTCGATCTGTGTCAGTTGCTGCAGATGTTCCTTCAAGAAAAGGCTCGGGCGCAAAAATATCCTCAGATGCGTCTGCCCAGGAGACGACAGGTTCGGTCGCAACTTCCACAGATTGGGGAACAGGCTGCTCAACCCTCTCTGCGTCCGTCGCTCCCTCCCCCTCGTCCGCTGGAGCTTCGGTCGCGAGTAACTCAGCGACCTCCTCAGACGTATCTGTGGGCATGCAAAAAGTGACAGCGAAAAGTAAAGCGAGAAAAGTTAGGGCCTAATCAAAGTGTTGGTGATTTAGGTTCCCTAAACTAACAAGCCTTACGGCTGATAACCAGACAAACGGAGGGACAAACCGGGAACCCCAAAACAGAACCCAATTCACCAACACTCCGCATGAAAACAAGAACAAGCACCCCTTTTTGCTATGGGGCACTTGAGCCACGGGGTCAGCAGCGTACTTAGTTATCCCCTGACCCTGGTTGTTGTTAGGGTTAGGGGTAAGTACCTACTTCTACCTATGACTACTCTACATGTATAACGCTTCTATACATGTGGTGCTACAACTGTACATATATTGGATGTACTACTTGGGGACTAATGGTTCTCATAGCTACGGCAGTGCTCTACACATGACCTACTACCTATGCTATACATAGTGGAGCTCAGGGGTCGGTATATTTCAACTGTGATATTACATAAAATGGTATCGATTGACAGGAGTCAAAATGATACATTTTTTATCACACAACTTGATACGACCTCGCATGCTCCGATGTCACATGGTATGATGCAATAACATGCTGTCGCATGTCTAGAGATATATGCTGTATGTACATGTTATGCACAACATGTATGATATTGCTTTATACGATAAATAGTGTACATGTTCCACGTATTTCAAATACGTGTGCATGATGTTGGGACAATACAAAACATGAGCAAATAAATAAACAAGGATTTCTAGTAAGTACAATGTGACATGATACTGTGCATCTTGAGGTTTCTTTATGATAGTGTCTGTTCATCGAAATGTGCAGTGCATTGATATGCTGTAGGCCTGCACCATATCAATCATTCGATTCATCACGCCTCAAGCACTCCCTCAAAAACACTTACACATGTTACACTCGCAACAACTCGCCATGGAAAAACCCTCAAAAACGACTCAGTCGTTTAGCTGATCCACATCCAGCCTTTGGTTCTCTCTTGGCATCTTTTTCTTCAAGTAGCCAGTCAGGGTGCCGGCGTTCAACTTCAGGCAGTGCACTCCAGTTGTCTCCTGATATCAAATATGAACATGACGTGACACCTCACAAATCAACAGGCACACAAAATCCGCCGAAAGTCCTACTCAGCAACCCCCAAAAAAAAAAACAACTAGAAAAACAAATGGCCACTACGTGCGTACGAGTTTACATTTCTACTGTATCTTTTTGATAGTCCAAATGGGTCAAATCCAAACGTTCCCTCTGAGAAAATCCATGCCCTTTGCCTCTAAATAGGGTCCCCCTACACCCCTTGCAGAATGCATAACCTTGGGCTCCTCCATCAACTTTGCCAACACATGAACCATACAAACTCTTCACCAATCAGCTTAGGCGCTATTTCTTTTGCCTTGATCACCCTTTGAATACGTTTTAGCATTTTCTTGCAGCTTAACCCAAGTCTTTGCGAGGTCATTTCGCCCCACCTAAAGCCCAGGCAAATCTCCAAATCTTTCAGTGTGGCAGAGCAAAATACATTGCCCCTTGAATCGATGTTTGTCAAACTTGGGGTAGGCCAAAACCACTGGTGTTTCCCCTGTGACAATGATCAATTTCGGATGATAACTTGGGTGTTGGGGTCTCCCGTCTTCAGAAATCCCAAATGGATTCAGGTCCATCAGCCCTATCAAGTCCTTGCTGAACCCGCCGACAAATAGAGCATATCCCCTATAGATTCCCCAAGTAGTGGATGGGAAAAACATGGAAAAACTAAATAAAATCATATCTTCAGCAAATCTATGCAAACAAAAATGTGATAAACAGTCCAATCAAGCATCCGCGAGGCTCCGGATGGTGTTTCCATCTTTTCCACCGGCCAGCTGCAAGACCATTGAGCTGGGATACACCGTAGTCACATCATGCCCTGGCAGCCAAGTCATTAGGATCAAGCTCTACAAGACCCCGTCGAAACCCCGGTGGAATGTGTTCTTCTTGCCTTCTCAGGGTGAAACTATATAATTATATTTTTTTCTTGGGGCTATGGGGGGCATTAAAAAATGTATTTCTGAGAAAAAAAAAGGTTGTAGAAGCAAACACCGCTTCAAGCCATACAGCCCTGGCGGCGTGGCCGGCATAGCCCATGGCCCATGGCACCTAGTACGGCTTGATCCGACTTGAAGGCTCGTTCGGATTCTGACCACTGGCCGGCCAAGGCCGACACACAGCCGGCAGCACTGTGGTGAAAGCGAAAGCCTGGGTGGGTTGAAGGGACACATTTAAAGTTGGAAACGTTGGGAAACATCTTTTTTACTTGGAAATTTATATTTTTGTTTCCATCATCCAATTCTTGGATTGGGCCACTGGCAAGGAATGGGAAACATGTTTTTAATTGGTGCGATGCAACACATACAGCTGATTGTTGTATCGAATCCATCCTAAAGCTACAATTCCAGTGGGGATAACAATCTAAAAACAAAATACAATCATGTCGAACCACCAGTCAGCGCATGGTTTCCGGAACCGTAACGAACCAACATATACAGTAGGCTACATCAAACATCAACAAACCAAGAAAAAGCTGAACATGAAGCCATTTAGTTGGCAGAACCTTCTATAAGGCCAACATGATGATTGAAACCTAAGCTGAGCCATAGTGTGAACGCTGCCAGCTCTAGAGTCACTAGAAAAGTATCAAGCGAAATATACTCTATATGTATATATATATATTCTGTTAAAAGCATCTCATTGATAGAGACCAAACCTGAATCAATTTGATCAGTGCCTCACCTTTACGACGAATTCATTGCTCAAATCAGGTCGATGATGTCCATTGGCATCTCCTCGATCTGGTCATTTACTGAGTCACGTCTTACGTGTCTTACGTGTCTTACCTGTCGTAAATGTCATACAGTACATGTGGTATATGTGTGCTGCATGCATTTACAAAACACGGAGAAGCCTCAAACAGCCAGACTTCATGCACATGTTTTTGCTTGGAGTGCTGAAGTGCTCTGTAGATTGCTCTGCGGCGGTTGAGGCATGTGCCCATGAGAACCTTGGCTGCCGCTGCTGTTCTCACTCTCGCCCTTGCATCTCAAGCGTTGTCCTGAGAGTTGACAGACTTGACAGCACAGAAGATGCAGAAGCACTCAAGCATTGTGCCAGTGATAACGGCTTCTCACTACAGGCCTAGAGTTCAGCGGGCACAAATTTAAAGACAGGCTACAGTTTGTATCGTCAATATCTATGAATAGCTGTGGTTGACAACTCAGCAATGCGTCCACTTCAACAGCTTCCCCCCATTGGCGCAGCCTTGTAGGGCTGTGAGAAAATCCCGCCTGGGTCAACACTGAACTGACCCACTGATGCCATGCAAAGCATGATCCAAGTTCCAAGTGCTGAAAGATGTGATCTCTGGGTCCCCAAATGGTCTCCCGTAACATGAACCAGGCGCCTTGGTAATTTCTTGGGACGCTTAGCAGGAATTGGATGACCCATTTGGAGACAGAACAAGAAAGAGAAATATCCCACAATCATTGGCTTCATTCCTTGGTTTCTAATATGCTGCAGCAAGTGCATATTCTACACTCTGTGTCCTAGTCCTCATAGAATGCATATCTATATGTAGTGTGTCGTAGTAGATTCTACGGCAAACCTGTACTCTGCGGCTGCAAAGCCCAGATATTGCAAACTATGGTCTAGGTTATGTTTAGGTGTAATCACCAGATTGTTCGTGTAATGTCAACCGCAAGCAGATCAACACCGGTTGATTGATAAGGAGGTACCCTCCAAATCGTGACAATCTGCATCTGCCTTTGAAATGGTACTCCCCTATCAAAGAAACAAAACAACCCAGTGCGTTCTTGATTTGGGCTGGACATTACATTACGCATGTCTAACCTCATATTGTTCTATATTACTCATATCTGAGTCTGAAAAATAAAGCATGTTCCCCATATTTCCCCATTTCCAAATCTGGATGCTCGGGACAGATCCTGAGTTTCAGCTGGGACCCAAGCGCGCTGTCCTACGATTCGTACAGCGCCCGTGAGAAAAATAAAAATCACTAAAGAGTGGATGGGATGGGGCTCTATAAGCTGATTATCTGATATAATTTGATTAAACTGTGACTGTGATATCAGTGGATGAAACTGTGATATAAGCTGGGATGTGGTTTTACGAGTGATATAATTTGTACATCAACTTCTGTAAATGATGAAGAGTTCATCAAAGAGGATTACCATTCTCACAAAACAGTGTTCTTCAAGAAGAAAAAAACACCAAAACGAAACGAAAATAACGTCTCCATGGTCAGCATTCTCCGATTTCAAAATTGGGATTTGGAAGTCACCTGCGAGCATAAGTGAGTATGTGTTTTTCTCTTGGATTTGTGCATTCAACTAGGTTTGAACTTGTGCTTACTACGATCCCACCAAGCAAAGTGGCGCACCCTGTGTCTCCGTCTTTTTCATCATCAAATCTCATGGCCTGCTACACCAAGGTCAGATCTATGAGGAAAAGCAAATCCCATACAAGGAGGCGCTGCCCAAGTTATTTTTGTTGGTGTTGTACCTTCTCCGCCCATCTAACTATAGGATACTATAGTATATGATATATGTCCACAATATATATATATATATACTATAATGCACTATAGTTAGATATATACTATAACTGTTGGATATATAATACACACATATCCAACACAAATCCATAAGGTGGCCTTGTGAAAGAAACCAATTCACCTGTGGAAGCCCTTCACCCAGTCAGGTCGCCTACCATTGTAGGGTCAGTACATTGGCACTGTGGAGGGTTTCATGGAAAAATAGATGGACAAACATATGGATATGTATATCTATATGTATTTGGATATGTGTATGGATATGGATATGTATTTGTATATGGATATGGAAATGTATATGTACATGGATATGTATATGGATATGTATATGTAAATGGATATGTATATATATTTGGATACGTGTATGGATATGGATATGTATATGCATTTGGATATGGATATTTGTATATGTATTTGGATATGTGTATGGATATGGATATGTATATGTATATGTACATGGATATGGATATGTATATGTATATGGATTGTAAATGTATTTGGATATGTGTATGGATATGTATATGTATATGTATATGTATTTGGATATATATATATATGTATATGTATATGTATTTGGATATATGTATGGATATGGATATGGATATGGATATGTATATGTACATGGATATGGATATGTATATGTATATGGATATGTATATGTATATTAATATGTATTTGTCGAAGGAAGTTTAGAACTCAAACTTTGAATTGCATGAAATGGCCTCCAAATGGATAGAGATGAGTGTACGTACTGTTGTGAGTATGTGTAATTGCGAATCCAATTTCTGTGCCACACGTTGAGAGTCTGCTGGATGACCCAGTCAAAAGTAGTTTGCAATCTCGAGCCAAATCTGGGTTCCAGATGACTGATGGTCGTCAGAAAAACTGCGAAACTAATTGACATCCCAACATAGGAGTTTGCTGTGCATGGATGAGGTTTACCCCTGCAAAGTGGAATGCCAAACTATTTTTATCGGACAATGATGATTAACCAACAGGTTTGTGGTACCCAATTTGGCCCACAACCAAAAAAAAATGGAAGCGAACCAGGAAAATTGAGGATTTCCCGTTCAAAATGGGGAGCCAACCACGAAAGAGTTATGGGGCTGTCCAGTCATATTGGTTTAATAATGGGACATTATGGGATATAATGGGAATGAATGGAGAAATCATGGGGATAATATGCAAATGTATATCCCATATACAACCAAAAATACGGTGTCTAGGTTACCCACCAAATACAATGGCCTGTCATCATTCTATCTACCGAAACTGCCATGGGCTCCAGCAGAGGACTTCCCGATGTGCAAATGCTCTTTGCATCTAACTCGCAAACGAAACTATCCTCGACCCAGTGCTGGCACGAAGCAAAGAAATCAGGGAAAAAAATTGCAATCTAAAATGCGCCTGTCGTCTTTTTGACGTGTTTTACCATGCTTTTGGCAAAAAGTTGGATATCCCAACCAGGCTGTCAGGCCGCGCACTGAATCTGAATCACGTCATCCAATATGCACAACTCCTCTCGGGTGAATTCTTTCCCCATTTTTTGCGCCTACCGGAAAGGAGAGATTCAAATTTACTACGTACATAAGAGCACCATGGAAGTCACATTGCACTGCACAATGGTTACAAATCTTCGAAATTCCATCAAAATCGCCGTTCTTCTCAAAAAGTACCGAAATCACGTGAAGTCCCTTATCAGATCTATCATCAATTTGGGAAATTGAAACGACCCCTACTAGGGTTGGCGATCATTATACTCGATGATGATCGTGTGGTGACTCAATGGGACTAGCTGAAATTCCATAGAGGTTTTGCTCGCAATTGCACTGCGTCGTGGTGTCTTTTGATTTGACATGTAACAATGTGGCAATCGCAATCTTGCATCGTGGTACTGATGACTGATGTGCAAACAGTTGATGTGCAGATATGACTGAGCTCTGTGTGCATCTCAATCACTGTCACTGCCAGATAGGAAGTAAATCCTTGGCTCGGTATGAAAACATGGACAGGGAGCGGACTTGTGATTAGTTTGCATTGTCGTTCCGCGTTTCGTCCTGGAATGTCTGTTTTCCAGGAGTACTCACCCCAAATGCACTACAGCATACTACAGCCAAATGCATACTGTCACATCCTTCACAAATACTTGATTCCCTAATATTTCCTAATCAAAGGAAGTTGGGAAGCAATACTTCCGTGTTAAGGACAAATAGAATTCTGAGATTTGAAATGATGAAGGGCGGTAGATCGTATAACAATACATAACATATCAATACATAACAAAAGAATAAGAAGCGGTGGAATTGACCTTGATGAAGGGTGCTGACAATGAGGGGGTGGTGATGAAGGGACGTGGTGACGATGGGAAGTGGTGACGATGGGAAGTGGTGACGATGGGTAGTGGTGAGGAAGGGAAGTGGTGACGATGGGAAGTGGTGAGGAAGGGAAGTGGTGAAGAAGGGAAGTGATGATGAAGGGGAGTGGTGAAGAAGGGAAGTGGTGAGGAAGGGAAGCGGTGACGATGGGAAGTGGTGAGGAAGGGAAGTGGTGAAGAAGGGAAGTGATGATGAAGGGGAGTGGTGAGGAAGGGAAGTGGTGAGTTGAGGAGGAAGCCAGAGCACGAAACCTTGTGTTTTTCCGTGTAAAGTGGCTGCAGGCGATGATGAAAGGTACCTCGTGTGTGCGACGGGTGCGGCTGCGGTCGTTCCAGACGCGATTGGTTCCTTCTATGTGTTTTGAAACAAGTGGTTGTTCCTGTGGTGTAGTTCCTGAAGCTGTGGTTGCAGATCGCATTGTAATGGCTGCATGAATGGTTCATGGGCTATGTTTTGGGGAGGAAGCCGGAGCACGAAACCGTGTGTTTTTCCGTGTAAAGTGGCTGCAGGCGACGATGAAAGGTACCTCGTGTGTGCGACGGGTGCGGCTGCGGTCGTTCCGGGCGCGATTGGTTCCTTCTATATGTTTTGCAACAAGTGGTTGTTCCTGTGGTGTAGTTCTATGCGTTTCCTGAAGCTGTGGTTGCAGATCGCATTGCAATGGCTGCATGAATGTTGCATGATCTATGTTTTGGGGAGGAAGCCGGAGCACGAAACCTTGTGTTTTTCCGTGTGTAAAGTGGCTGCAGGCGACGATGAAAGGTACCTCGTGTGTGCGACGGGTGCGGCTGCGGTCGTTCCGGACGCGATTGGTTCCTTCTATGTGTTTTGCAACAAGTGGTTGTTCCTGTGGTGTAGTTCTATTCGTTTCCTGAAGCTGTGGTTGCAGATCGCATTGTAATGGCTGCATGAATGTTGCATGGTCTATGTTTTGGGGAGGAAGCCGGAGCACGAAACCTTGTGTTTTTCCGTGTAAAGTGGCTGCAGGCGACGATGAAAGGTACCTCGTGTGTGCGACGGGTGCGGCTGCGGGCGTTCCGGACGCGATTGGTTCCTTCTATGTGTTTTGCAACAAGTGGTTGTTCCTGTGGTGTAGTTCTATGCGTTTCCTGAAGCTGTGGTTGCAGATCGCATTGTAATGGCTGCATGAATGTTGCATGGGCTATGTTTTGGGGAGGAAGCCGGAGCACGACACCTTGTGTGCTCAACGTTGCTCGGTGCCGCGGCTGCATGCGTAATACTATTGTCTCTTGCAGCTGAACATCGTAAATCGTATTGGAGTGGCTACATCCAGGCTGCGATAGTGATTCCGGTTTTGGAGCTGCAATTTCCGATACTGTCGCGCGTAGTTCTATTGTGTTTTGCAACTCAGTGTCTGCAGATCGCATTGTAGTGGCTGCGTCAAGGTTGCTCGGTGCCGGGGCTGCATGCGTAATACTATTGTCTTTTGCAGCTGAACATCGTAAATCGTATTGGAGTGGCAGCATCCAGGCTGCGATAGTGATTTTCGCAATTTTGGTATAGTAATTTTCCTTTTAAAAATCCTTTTAAAAAGTGCTTCAAAATCGGCTTTTTTCTGCTTTGGCGTCGACATCCGGTTTTGGAGCTGCAATTTCCGACACTGTTGCGCGCAGTTCTATTGTGCTTTGCAACTCAGTCTCTGCAGATCTTATTGTAGTGGCTGCGTCAAGGTTGCTCGGCGCCCAGTGCCGTAAGTGCCACGCCTGCCACGCAAAGTGAAGGTGGATGTCAGTGAGTGCCACGCCTGCCACGCAAAGCGCAGGTGGGTGTCACCAAGTGCCACGCCTGCCACGCAAAGCGCAGGTGAGGACAAGGTATGTGTGAGCAAGTTGTGTGTGAACAAAGTGTGTGAGGACAAGTTGGTGAGGACAAGGTGTGTGTGTGTGTGAGCAAAGTGTGTGTGAGCAAGTTGTGTGACGACAAGATGTGTGATGACAAGATGTGTGAGGACAAGGTATGTGTGAGCAAGTTGTGTGTGAACAAAGTGTGTGAGGACAAGTTGTGTGAGGACAAGTTGGTGAGGACAAGGTGTGTGAGGACAAGTTGGTGAGGACAAGGTGTGTGACGACAAGATGTGTGATGACAAGATGTGTGAGGACAAGATGTGTGAGGACAAGGTGTGTGTGAGCAAGCTGTGTGTGGAGGAGGCGGCGGGAGGAGGCGGAGGCGGAAGGAGGCGGCGGGATACAGAACCAAAAACAAGAACCCCACACACAAAGATGTGGGGAAAAATTGATGATTTAAGGGTCCCCACATTTTAGGAAACCCTCATATCTCATCATCTGCAAAGCCTTCCCCGAAGTTCCAATCAAATCCTGTCCCACCCAAGGCCCTGAGACTTGTACTCATTCCACCAGTGTACTCATTCCAGAATATTTTTTGGAACGTGGCCTGGCAGGGTCAGTGGTTTTCGGACTCTGGCTATATCAGATCTGATAGGATGGAAATGGATGGAATGTTGGAGTTGACAG